AGAAGAAATGAAGAGATCAGTCTGGTTGAAAACAACTTCTTTTCCTCAAGACTTTTTTCTCCCTCCTCTCATACTTTGAGGTGACAAGAGGCAGTAAATGCCATAGGGGAGGAAGACGATGACATGTTGATTTACTGATCTGTGTTTGTGTGAGACACACACGCGCGCACACACACACACACTGTGTGGGACACACAAAAAGTCTCAACAACTCCAACATTCCTGTGTGATTATACCACCACTCTCCAAGTTACATACTTGACTGATGTACTCCATAAATTGGATCCACTCCGCGGCTGTGCTGCTGCTTTCTTCATTCACAAACACACACACACACACACACACACACTCACTCACTTGTGAACACAAACAATGTCTCCTTATCTTATCACAACCTCTCCCCTTCTCCCTCCCCCCCTGATCCCCCCCTCCTCTCCCCCGTTCCTCTGTCTTCCTCTTTTGAAGAAGTTTTCCACACAGATCCAAGTCTAACATCTGGGTCAGCTTATATCTGGTGGAACAAGACTTGCAGGATATTGTTGGCAGGATGTATGAACTGGAGCAGTTTACTCTGTGGGAATCCCCAACACACACACACACACACACACACACACACACAGACAAAGCTTTTTACTGCCATAGTTTCTCTAATGGATTCCCAGGTGGAGAGTGACGCCTCACACACCGGTGAATATTTGTGCAGCACAGTGGATTAAAGCTGGTGTTTACCAGCACCCCCTACACCTCACCACCTGAAATAACAACCACAAGGGATTTTTTAAAGTGTGTTTGGTTCAGGTGTCCGTCTGCTGGGATGTCGCCCCCTGCCTGTATTTTCTATTTTCCATCTTTCTTCCTGGGAGCTAATGTTTACCAGTTGATGTTTGACATTTGGCACGTTTTCAAAATGGAGGAGGGGAGTGGGGGTGTAGGGATTGTGGGAAGTGGCAGGAAGACAGTTGCCAGATGCTTTAACTCCCACTGCTCAGCTTGTTGGAACAGTTAAACAAAGATGGCTGCTAACTGATTCCCACGGAGCAAAACCTGGAGTTTCTTACATTTAGCTGCTGCTATTGTCTGATGCTCAACAATGTACTGTTATAATATCACTTGTTATTGTAGAAATAGTTTGGACCAAGTTACAGGACTGCAAATTCAGTTAATGGACCGTTCCTTCCCCCCTGCAGGGGGGACTGCAAATTCAGTTAATGGACCGTTGTAATGATTACAGCACTCCCTAACAAGGTGAGTATTTGAAAACAAACAAATGAAAACAAAACAAGAGATGAAACACTGAACATTCAGGTTAAATGTCATGTTTAATATTGTGAGGAATGTTTAGGTTATTACCAAAAAAGATTACAAAATAGTCTCAGGAGAGTGGATATACTGAGTACATACAATGATATGATGTTACTGCGTTACTATATGAATATATGAGCTCAGGTTATTTATGTGCAAGAAAAAAAAAAACCCCAAGACGTCTAACTTTTCCTTCTCTGTACCTTTTCAGAACATGCACTAGTTTGAGGTGAAACAAGTTGGAATTGTTCTGTCACTCGTCGGTGGAAGAAGAGTGAAACGGGCTGAAGAAACACAGTAGAGGCAAGACAATGGGAACCTCACTGTTACACCAAACTATCTGCTGGAATCCTCCCCTCGTGGGTTGTCGTGACTGTTAACAAATTGCACAAGACAAAAAAAAAAAAAAGTCTGTCCTCTATCTCTGCTGATTTACAGTTCTCTGCCTTCCGTCTCCTCCCACTCTGTCTCCCTCCCACCTCCCCCACTCCCACCTCTCTTTCTTCTTTTTCTCTTGCACCGGTTCATTCCTTTTTCTCGTCTTTGGGCTTGTCATCCGTTTTATCCAGGAAGAAGTCGTTGCAGGCGACCGTGAGGGCGCCCATCAGGATGATGAACTCGGTGAAGTCCACCTCCCCGTCGTTGTTGGAGTCCAAGTCGTTCATCACCTTCTCTACTCCTTCATTATCTTTGGAGTTCTGTCAGTGGGGAGAGAGGGCCAGAGAATGTGGTCACTGTGTGTGGTATTTTCATTTCTGCTCCCTGTTCAAGGCCGTTTCTCAGATTTGTTCACGTCCATAGTTGTAATTCAAAGAACAAAAGCCTGGCTCTAATGAGGCAGAACATCATTCCTGTGAAATGCATGAACAAATGATAAAAACGTATAAACATGCAAACCAAATTTGGTAAAGTTTTAGGGACCGTTGTGCAGTTATTTTACCCCCTCAAAAATGTAAAAGAATTCTTGCATGTCTGTGAGCTGAAGTTAAACTGTATCCTTTAACCAGGCCATGGTACTACAGTACACTGCTGCCATGACTGTGATGAAAGTGTGGAGATGTGAGAGGTGAGGGTCTTTGGATCATTTCAGGTTAGGGTTCAGCACGGAGCTGACGTAGCTGCTCATTATCAGTGAGAACATGTCAACGTTCTTTTCTCTTGACTTTTCACTGTGGGAAACAAATCTTATCAAAGTCCGTTTTTATCTGGTCGTTGGACACAGTGTGAGGCTGAGGCTGTTACTCATTTCAGGCAGTCAGTACAGACTTCTGTGTGTGTGTGTGTGTGTGTGCACACACATGCATGCACCAACTTGTCCCGTCCTTCCACATCAGAGTATGTGAGTGCATACCTTCACTTGTGTGTCACATACTTCCAAACTGCATCCGTGTGTTAGTGTGCAAACAGTTACACACGTCTTTACACACGTCTGTTTTTGTTTTTTTTTCTTCTTACCCCTAAGTAACTCCCGAGCTCCTCCACCAACAGCTCCCTCAGCTCACAGCGGCTCAGCGTGTACTTGTCGCCTTCCTTCCCCGAGTATTTGTGGAAGGTCTTTATGAGCATCTGCATGGCATTCTCCAGGTCGGAGGTGGGCTCCTTGGACATACTGTCGAAAGAATCAGGTGAAAAACACAAGGTCAGCCTCTGGATCCACGTGCACGCTCCAGCCCCTGCCTGTGCATGTGCGGTCACATGGCACTCAGGGGTGAAGCCCCCTCCAAGACACAGAAGAAGAGCAGAAGGACGGAAGGACACCAAAAGACGGGGTCGAATAACACCCTGCGTGTGGAGCAGAGGCTATTGCTGACCCTGATATACGTAGGCGGGTCAGGGTCTGGGTGTGTGTGTGTGTGAGTGTGTGTAAGTGTGTGTGTGTGTGAGGGTTTTTACGTTACAGAGTTTGGGATAGAAAGTTGGAGGACAGCTTGGGAAAAGCTTTTCGAACAATCTTACACACATTGTGTCCGGCATGGTGCTGCGTCTTGAGCTGGACTCGTGGAGAGACTGTGCACACACAGATACAGATCAGTCACTGTCAACGATGCAGTGTTTTAAAAAAAAGAAAGTTTTGAAGTGACACTCTGAGCTCGGGGTCTCGTGTTCTCCTTAACCATCACAGTACCCTGAGACGCTGCCACAGACAGAAGACCACTCCCTCAGGCCCAGTCAACGTTAAAGCTCAGGGGGGTGGTGGTCCATGACCGAGGACGGCCAATCAGCACCTGCGTTTCCATCATTTATGAACCAATCAGGTTTTAGCAGAGGCAGACAGGTGCTGAGGCCAGTCACAGCTGATTGGCTGCGGTCATGCTGTGGACACTCTGTCCTGCAGAGGTCAGAGTTGTCGGCTGCAGGGACAAAAGACGAAGGAGAGGGGACACCCAAGCTAGCTGAGTGGAAAATCTATAGACGTCACCTGTTCGGCTGACTGGCCAATCACAATGGTCCAAACGAGGAGACGCAGTAACACAATATCAGGTAAAGCAAATTCTCAACACAATGTTGAAGATGGAACCATGTACAGTGGAAACGCTGATCACACGGGAAATATCACCGACGTTTGGACCACAGTCCACGACTACAGTCACATTCATTGATGCACAATTCCTGTCACATTCACTCAATCAAACTCAGAGATTTCAAAGGAATGTTGAACAAATCCTTCAGTTTTTCTTCCCCCTCTGGATCTGATCGTCATGTTGGCGTTGATGCCCCACAGCTGCTTCTCTCTCATTCACCACCAGCCTTTGTTCAGACACACAGGAGAAAGTGGAGTCCGTCTTACCTGAGTGCTGATGGACGGGCCGCCTTTGTCTTAGAAGAGGTTGCGAGGTACAGAGCCAAGGCACGGATAGACAGGGAGACTTGGTCGGCGGCTTAAATACCACCTGACCCCTCCCCCCCCCCACCCCCCCACACCCCCATTCTCCATCACCTCACTACGTCATCAGCTTCACGTACTTGTTGCATCTGCTCCTCCATCCTTACTCCTTCTCATCTTTCAAGGTGCTTTTTCCATCACCTCCAATCGACGCACACACACACCCGACCACAAAGTTGATACAGAGCAGGGTGGACGCAGGACGCCCCGACCACAAAGTTGATACAGAGCAGACAGGACACAGGACGCAGGACGCAGGACGCAGGACTGCTGGACATACGTCACTGCCACAATAACTGTCCCACACAAATATTGAGTTCTAATTATAATTATAGTTAATATTGAGTTTGATTATGAGTTATTCATACGGTTGGCTATTTGTTAGCCACAGCACAAACCAGTGATGGAAGTCTGTAGTAAGGATCTGGACATGAACTGTAGACGAAGGGGACGGGAAACATGCTATGCTAACACGCCGGTTGAACGGACAACAAAAACTAACTGGAAATAAATAAAAATAATAAGAAATGAATTTTGGTACCAAACTAACAGTCTGCTATTATTAAATAAAAAACTACAATAAAATCATTTTATCTTAAATATTTCTTTGTATTGTGGAGTCAATGGTTTCTGTATTCAAACTAAAACGATGACGTGATCCCGTTCAGTCAGAAAACCCACTCTTCCTGTTCTGTAAAGTCGTGTGTTTGTGCATGTGTACGACGACAAACAAAGCTGCTGCTGCTGCTGCTGCTGCTGCTGCTGCTGCTGCTGCTG